CAATGGAGACCGTGAGGAAGACGAGGCAAGTGATGATGGAGCTGTGGGGAATGGCGATGTAGATGGCAAGATTGGTAGGAGGAATATGCGCCTTAAGCAAGATCACGAATTGGATCACGCATCACGCTGTAGGGTTGCAAGCTGTGGTGGAGAACAGGGTAGGTCTGCTGATGGGGATCATGGCAGTGATCGTCCTGGTGCTGGCCATGGTGGAATGGATCACAATGCACACATGGCTGCTGGCATGGATGCCAGAAGTGGTATAGAAAAGGGCAAGGCCGTTGATGGGGATCAAGGTAGTGGTGGAGAACAGGGCATCGCTGCTGATGGGGATCAAGGCAGTGGTGATCATCGAACTACTGCTGGCCGTAGTGGAGCATGCACTTCTGCTGGCAGGGTTGCACGAAGTGGTGGAGAACATGGTAATGTTGCTGGCCATGGTGGTGACGATGTCGATGGAGTTTGTCGGAAAATCATTAGTGGTGGCGAACAGGGCTGCACGAGCATTGCCGCTGCAAAAGCTAGTGGGGCAGCTGGGGATAAATATGCGGATCACCTCCTTGATGTCGCTGCAAATCAGTTTGGGGCAAATCAATTTGTTGCTGCAAATCAAAGTGGGGCAGCAGGTAAACAAAGTGAAGCCTCTGTCAAATTGGCTGCGACCAGAGTGGGTGAATGCGTGGGTGTTGTGGCTCAACCAAACAAATCACGATCGTTTGCTGCAGCGGATGTTCAGCCAAGATCTATTGTGGTTGAAGATCTCCCAACTCTTGGCTTCGTCAAAGTCTGTGTTCCAGACCAGGCATATCAAAGAGGCTTAGAGTACTGTAAGTTCTCTTTAATTGGTTGATTAAATTTGGCTTCTACCAGTATCCTCAAAATAAGGTCTATTGTAAAAGACCTATGGAAATTAACTTCACCAGTCAATTTAATTCCGCTTGGTAGAGGATTCATACATATAAAATTCCACAATCATAATGATATGATAGGGGGGACCGTGGGGACTAGATGGACAAATCCTTTGGTTACAGCAGTGGCGACCAGATTTTAATCCATCAAGGCAAAGGTTGGATCACGCTTTGGTTTGGGTTCGCTTCCCTGACCTTGGACGAGAATATTTGGAGCCTGAAACTTTGTTCACTCTGGCAAAAGCTATTGGTACACCAATCGATATTGATAAAAAATACTAGAGCTCGAACATGGGGTCATTTTGCCCATGTTTGTGTCGATATTGAGATCAATAAAGAATACCTAAAAGAGATTATGGTGGAGCGACCAAAGATTGATGGAACAGGGGTAGTATCTTTCATGCAAAAAGTGGTTTTGGAAAATCCACCGAAGCGACGCAATTTTTGCAAATTGATTGGCCACGATGTGGCAAATTGTAGAAACTTAAAGAGAGATGAGGTGTCCGCTAAAGATAGACAGGGTAATTGGGTTTAATGAAGAAAACAATGAGAGGATTGTGGTAACACCGGATTTATCTAGTACTTGGCAGTGAAATTTGGGTGGTGATTCCTCTTCCACCCATGGTGCCAATGATCAAGAATGGCTCACTCCGAGAAAAAAAATAGCTCAAAAAAAGGGAGCCAACCAAAGATTGTACTGGAGACACAAGACCTGGGACAAATTGCCCAAGGGACCAGTCAGAGAGTGGTGGTTTCTATCGAACAGGCGGGAAATAGGTCCACAGTCTATTTTGTACAGGAAGAAGTCCAAAAAATTGATGACCATATGCAAAAGGAACAAGAACAACAACTGAATTTCGTTGAAGCAATGTGCGGGAAAGAAGATAATGAACATGCACATGCACGTACTTATCAAGAGGAGTCAGAAGCCTCTTCTCAAGATGAACGACAACAATGTGACGAAGAAGAAGAGGCCCTGGACTACCAGGTTTCACGGGAAGTTGTAAAGGTGAAGAAAAAAAGAGAAAGGAAAAAGAAGTCTGAGCTGGTGGATTTATCACCGTCAAGGAGGTCCGATAGAGTTGCTGCAATAGGGCAGCTAAAGAATACAAAGTTATCCCAATGAAGACCCTTTTCTGGAATGTAAGGGGGCTTGCAAACAAAAGGGCAATTGCCGCATTAAAAAATTTCCTGAGATTAGAAAATATCGAAGTCTTAACCATTGCAGAGCCCATGATTACTCCTTCAAAGGCTCCAGTACGTCTTTTATCTTCATTGGGTTTTGATTTAAATTTTGTTCATAATTCTAGAAATAATCAAAAGCCAAATCTTTGGCTGTATGGAAAAACACAATAATAGCGCCGAATGTTATTGCCTGTTCTGAACAATGTATCTCAGTGATTTTTGATGGTCAAGATGATTCCGTACTCTTCTCTATAATCCATGCTCAAACCAGTTTGGTTAAGCATAGGATCTTGTGGGAAGACCTAAAGAATCTATCTTGCAATTATGATATTCCTTGGGTGATCATGGGGGACTTTAATGCTGTACTTCTTTCCTCTTAGAAAGTTGGGGGAAATCCACAAAATAGAACTTCTTGTGAGGAGTTTGCGAATTTCATAAACACTTTGGACCTTATTCAGCCCACCCGTGAAGGTATGAGATTTTCATGGACAAATAATAGGAAGGGTGCTAAAAACATTAAAGCTTTGTTGGACAAATGTCTTGTAAATCAAAGATTCATGGATCTTCATGAAAATGCTTCCTGAAAGTGTTATAAAGAATCTCGTCAGATCACTCACCAATTATTTTAGAATCCTTCCCTATGCCAAAAGCAAGAAACATCCGTTTCGGTTTCAACATGTCTGGACTGAGCATCCTGAGTTCTTGGAAGTTGTGAAAGAAGTATGGAAACAACGAATCACAGGTTCGCCCATGTTCAGGATTGCAAAAAAACTACAAATGCTTAAGAAAAAATTGAAAGTGTGGAACAAGAATATCTTTGGAAATGTAGACAAGAATGCGGCGATGGCAATGATTGAATTAGGTGACAGCCAGGAATTACAAGATGTGGTTGGGACCAATTCTATGATTGATGAAGATGAAATTATGGCGGAAACAAAGGGCCACAATGCTCTTGCAATCCAGGAAAAATTTTGGGCTTCCAAATCTAGAGTTAGATGGTTACAATTGGGTGATAGAAATACAAAATATTTCCACTCAATGGCAAAAATATGAAAATCAAGGAACTTTATCCGTTATTTGAAGACTGAATCAAACCAGGAATTGGGAGATCTTAACTCTATTGGATCTTATTGTGTGGAATTCTATAAAGAATTTTTCAAAGCAAAAGGTTGCTCCATGAATAATGATCTCTTCAATCTCATTCCAAATATGGTAGATATGGTGGACAATAACTTCCTTGAACCTGTTCCTTCGCCATTAGAGATAAAAGAGACTGTTATTCGAATGGATGCTTTTAGTTCACCTGGTCCAAATGGTTTCGGGGGAATTTTCTACAAACACTGCTAGGACATTGTAAAGTATGATGTTTGTCGGGCTGTATGATGCTTTTTCATTGATGGATGCATCCCTAATAGCTACAATAATAACTTCATTACGCTAATCCCCAAGGAACAAGTTGCAGATACCTTGTCAAAGTTTCGGCCAATCTGTATGGGAAACTATAAGATTATGCCTAAAATCCTAGCAAACAGGTTAAGAGTTATTGATCCAAAGCTTATATCGGAAGAACAAGGTGCTTTCCTCAAAGGCAGACAGATATCATCAAATATATGCATGGCTTCAGAACTGCTAAATTCCTTTCCAAAAAAGAGTCATGGGGGACAGTGTGGGCTGAAGATTGATTTTCAAAAAGCATATGATTTACTTGAATGGCCTTTCCTTCTTGAAGTATTGAAGAGATTTGGGTTTACAATAAAATTTGTATCTTGGGTAAAACGAATTCAGTATTTAGCTAATATTTCGGTCCTGGTAAATGGGGGACCTTTTGTATTCTTCTAGGTAGAGAGAGGACATGGGCAAGGTGACCCACTAGCACCTCTTCTATTTATTTTAGCTAAAGAGGTTTTAAGCAGAGGCATTGCTAATATGGTTCAGAAGAAATTGATATGTACTTTGAAGGGACCTAGGGGTGTGGTTGTGCCATCGCACTTTAAGTTTGCTGTTGATCTATTTGTATTTATGAAAGCTGACTACCGCCACCTGAAAAGGTTGAAGGAGTTTCTTTTAAATTTCCAAGAGGCTTCAGGCCTGAGAATAAATTTCTCAAAATCAGAGTTATTCTGTGGATCAATTCCCCAAGCCAGACAATATGCTATCAAAAGACTGTTGGGAGTCTCTATTGGGCGATTACCTTTCAAATACTTAGGTGTGTCGATTTTTTTAGGTGCCCCAAAGGCACGATTTTTGAGACCTCTACTAGAAAGGATTCGCAACAAATTATCGGGTTGGAAGGGCAGGATTCTAAGCTTCATAGGAAGGGTTCAACTGCCGAGCTCTGTTATTGCAAGTATGCCTATTCATTCCTTTGCAATCTATCAATGGCCAGCACATATGATAAAAGACATGGAAACACAGATGAGAAACTTTATTTGGACTAAGAACCATGAATTATCAAAAAGAATAACAGTCTCTTGGGACAAAGTCTATAAACCTATCAAGGAAGGCCGTTTGGGATTAAGAAGGCTAAGAGATGTTAATTTCTCCATTTTGATGAAGCTGGCTTGAAATGTTTTGAACAAGAAGGAAATTTGGTCAAAGTTCAGTTTTGCCTAATATTTCAAGGAGGATGCTTCTGTGAGATCGACGCCGTAGGTTTTTTCTATGAGGCTTAGCTTAGTAAAAGTCTGGCTGACAGTACTTTCAGGGTGTGGATGGATGATTGGAAATGGCTCATCTATTGACTTTTGGAAGGATATGTAGATCGGAAATACATCAATTGGCTCTCTATCAGGTCTTCCATTGTCAGCATTCAAGAACTCATATGCAAGAGTTTCACACTTCATCTCAGGTAGCCCTCAAACATGGTGTTTTCCTGTGATTAATTCTACACTTTTAAATGAATTCTTAACAGCTGCTTCTGCAATTGATTTACCCCATGCCCCTCTACCGGATCAAAGAATTTGGAGACATACTATCTCTGGTGAATTCTCAACTATCTCTGCATGGGAGTTCATCAAGGAAAAAGGATGTAAGTTATATTGGAATGCTTTGGTCTGGTATAAGGGCATCCATTCAAGAGTTTCCTTGATGAGTTGGAAAGTTGCAAACAATGCCATTGCTATTGATGAGAAAATCAGGTCTATTGGCATTAATTTAGTTTCATGTTGTTCACTATGTGGAAAAAGATGGAAACGAGGGATCATTTATTTGTTACTTGCCTTTTTGCTAATAGCATATGGAGCTGGTTTTCCAAGTTGTTTGGATTACCTCTGCCATGCGACATGTCTTTTTAAGCTTTTAACAAGAAATGGAAAAGACCAGGATGCCATGGCAGAACGAAGGATTTGTGGATTATTGGATGCTCCTATATCATCACTACAATATGGATGTCAAGAAACAAATGTTGATTTGATGATGGCCGGCCAATGTCTCAAATTCAATGGTCAAAGAAATGGATTATATAACACATCTCGTCAATAACTTCTAATTGGTGTAACTTCAAAGCAAAGTCTGTGAGTGATTTATTACTAACAAGAAGCCTTCGTAAAACCCAAACTTCAGGGAATGATCCGCCCATCCTGGAGTATGGCTTCCGCCTATGCCTGAATGCGTCAAACTCAATATAGATGGGTGCTCCAAGGGGAATCCAGGAAGATCGGGATTTAGAGGTATATTAAGAGATTCGTCAGGAGTCGTGCGTGGTTCTTTCCCAAGACCAATTCCTATGGGAACAAATTATTTCACAGAGCTTAATGTATTTATTTATGGTGTCGAATATGTCATTAAAAAGGCTTCACTAATGTCTGGATTGAATGTGATTCTTTTGGTATTATTTTGGCCACAAGATCCAAGTTGCGACCTTGGTGTATCCAAATCAGATGGGAAAATGTAATTGATTCCTTAAACAATATCTCAGGGAAAATCTCACGTGTATAGGGAAGCAAACACCGCAACAGACAAAATGGCAAATATTGGTTGCCATATTACTTCATATAAGGAGTGGGATACACACCCTAATTTTGTTGGACATCATATCTCATGGGATGCAGCTGGAAGATCGAGATACATATTTAAGTAATGGATTATGTGATGATTTTTCAGGGTTATAATTTTGTCATGGGTGTGAGTTCGGATTTGTCATGACTTCAGCCCCTATTACTACTGGCTATGTCGTAGATGATAATATTGGGAAATGTAGTTTTTCCTGATACTCAATTGCAATGTAAATGGCCGTTTGTACCTTTTTATATATTTTAATGAAAAGTGCTTACCTGTAGCAAAAAAAAAAAAAAAAAAAGTATATATATATTAATTTACAAAATAAAGACTAATCAAATTTTATTAAACAAAATAGAGACTCACATTTCACACTGGCAGTAACTTGCAAATAACTTCCACTCCTCCGAGAAATACATTGGTACATTATTTCAATAACGTACATTATTTCAATAACAGTCATACAAAGTTTACTTGCAAATAACTTCCACTCCGCCGAGAAATACATTGGTACATTATTTCAATAACGTACATTATTTCAATAACAGTCAGACAAAGTTTACAAGACTCTCAAAAGTTTAAAGACTCTACACTCAGAAGATAATCACATACTGGCACACATGATACTCTCAAACACACATACTCTTATAGATCCGGAACAGACTTAGAGAATGATTGACTTCCAGAAAGGAGTTAAACCCTCCAAAAACCCGTTCTTGAAATGAGAGCTTCTTCTCCTCTTTATAGCTGATAGCGCGAACTTGAAAACGTTTTGAGTCCGAAAAGCAAATGCCTTTATGTGGGCTTCAGCTGAGCTTCACATGGGTGACAAGACAAAAAGTTGCTACAGTGAAGATTCTTCTTTTCTAGCTACAATAAATCTTGTCCGGCAATAATTGGACTGATAGCGTAAGTGCTTTCGTCAATTGATGGGCCTCGTGTCCTAGATCAGGTTGGAGTTAAGCCGGCTCAGAATTGATTTACTTACCCTTTAGGAGGGGTCATGATGCCTTAACAATCATCATCATTTTCCTATGTATCGTCTTCTTTTTTTTTTGAAGCGGTAGTTGACATAT